ACACTCCTCAAGGAGGGTACCAAGCTCAGTGGCTGAAAGCAAGATTAATGAATGAATTATGGTATTCCAGAGATGCTGCAGAGGAAGAGGATCCACCAGTACAAGGTCCCATGCCCTATGAACCTGATGATGCCCCATGGAGGAAAGGAGAATCTGGTATTAGGAAGTTGTAAGTAGCAAGTTCAGCCAAGCAAGGGAGATCTATAGGGAGATATTATCTGTCACTCTTTCTATTATGGAACTTTTTATGTTGTTCATAGGGGTCTTGTCTGAGTGGAATGTATGTAGTTTGCATGTTGATATCATGCCCCATATGACTATACATTTGTAAAACCTCTTTGTGAAATGCTGATTTAATTGTCAAGTTAAATCTGAGATAAACTTAGTAAATGGTTACATGTGAATAGATAAATGTCTTATATATATCTGCAAAAAGTTGTAGTAATCATGATAAATATCTAGGTGTGCATGCGCATTCCCAAGCCAATGTTGTTTGTGTATATAAGTAATCAATATGAATGGTTTTAACCCCTATGATCCGGTTACATCGGCACTCTTATGCGGACTAAAATCCAGGGATTAGGCCTACCGTGGGTGCCACTCTCCTGGGAGTGTGGTGTGTACGCCTCGCTCAAGCAAATATTCATGTGCGGTGTCGAGTCTCTGTGCCCCTGCTCATAGCAACTTTTTCATAGATGAATTTTTGCTATATTTTCATTTGAGGAGAACTGCATTTTTTTCTTTTTTTTTCTTTATGCTGTATCATGCTCACAATAGCTTGTTTTCATTATTCAGTCTCCATATTATTCTCTGTGCAAAGCAGGTAATATTGTATTGTCAGTGTTATCTTTTCTATATTTTGATATTATTCAGATTTGAAAAATTATCATTCACTTGCGCTATATGAAGAGAGATATAGATTATTTTCGTTGTTTACACTTCATACTATCAGTTGAAGTAGCATAGATGGGGCAGTAATAAAAGAACATCAAATTCTTTTATGTAAAACCATTTTTGCAGTTTACAAGTTTTCAAATGCTAAATTTGGAATTTATTATGCTTTCTCATGCTGGAAATGTAGTTTTTATTGACAAGACTCCATTTTATATATCCAAATAGTTAGTCTTTGCAATACAGGTATTACTGTATTTGCGTTTTCTGTATTGTTCAGTTTATAAAAATCAACATTTACATATACTATATCATATCAGTAATAAACTGTTTTAGTTATTTGCACTAAATGTTATATCTCTAAGTTGTTTATATTCCATTCAATACAAACATCAAACAAATGAAGGATGAACAAATGTTTTTCTCTATACATATTTCTTTATTTATTTCTGTAAATCATACATAGTTTCTACTGTATGTTAAGTTTGGAAGCAGCCGTACTGACATAGCAGCACTTAGCAGCGGCCGCAAATTGTTTGTCTCTCTCGCTGTGTGCTTTGTGCATAACACACCTTACAAAGGCAATATTGGCCACCAGGTGTGGGTACCTGAACATGGACAAGATATCTTCCCTGAAGATGGCCCTCTCCCAGGTTTGACCAATGGATGATACTTTCCACCCTTGAGGACTAGTGGAATTCCTGCAGGAGCTCACAAACAGGCCCCTTTGTGAAGGCCCACTGAGTCAAATTCCCTCCCAGTGCTTTGTGCACCAAGAAGGAATTTATGACTGTCATCTCAATAAGTTCATAAAGGACTTTTGTAGTCCACTTGATGGACTTGCAAGAGGTCAGGTAAGACTGAACCAGCTAGTCGGTCATGTCTACCCCCTTCATCCCGACATTGAAGTCAATCACCATGAGAGGTTTTAGCCTCTGGTGACCATGTCAGTCTGAGATTTTAACCATCTGGCTATTGTGGACAGTCGACGACATTATGACGGGCCTCTTGTCGTACCAGTGAAGGCACGACAAGCCCGTCTTGTTGTGCCCGAGCTATGATAGTCCACATCACCACAGGCCTTTACCTGCAGTTCCTTCAGCATGTTCTTGCAGTTGACACGGACCATGCCAATCACATCGACACCCTGTCCCTGCAGATAGTGGAAAAGGCAAGGGTAGGTGTACCAGTTATTGGTATGCACCTCATACCCCTTTCCTGGCAAGCATATGCGATTGTTAGGGATGTAGACTATTTGTTGCCAGCACTCCCGGAACTTCCGACTTCCGACACTCTCTAGGGAGGAGTGTAGACTGATGTGAAATGTTGACACAACAGGATGATACTGGCCAAAGCTTCCACAGGCAGTCATTGAAAGTTTCCATCCCGTCATAAGCCAGCACGAGGAGGTAACTACACAGTGTCTCGAACATGTCCTTCATCTTTGTCTGTGAAATATGTGCTGACTTTCGAGGGGGGTCATGCACCGACTTTCGTGGGGTAACGCGCCAACTTTCAAGGGGGTCTCTTCCTAGTCCTCTCTCTTCTAGAAAAATCTTCTCCCCACTTTCTCACTCTTTTAGAAAAATCATCTCCCTACTTTCTCCCTCTTTGTAGTCCTCTCTCTCTTTTAGAAAATCCATCTCTTTCAGCCATTTAATGAAGTTTCAAACTGTCCCATGATAGAATGGTAGCCTTATCTTCCCCTCGGCCAATTTTTTTTGATGACGAGATGGCGGCGTCACCCGTAAGTTAGCTCCATTTTTTTCATGACATCACAGTCTCATCATCCGGATCCAAGGGGTTAAGCTCTGGTTTGTTGTTAAAGTTGTGATAGTTCTTTTTTTTTCTTTAGTAATAAAGCACAAAACAACAATATTATATTTATTGTAGGTCTATATTTTCTACGTCTGCTGAACATTCATGACTTTGGTTTTATGTATTCAACAGAAGAAAAAATAGTATTGATTATGTGGTAATCTGATCCATCATTGTTTAATTGCCAAAAGTCATGTTTCACTAATTAATCCAGAGTAGAAAATGACTTTGTAAGGAGAAATTATTTATAAGGAGGTTTTACTGCATGATATATGGTCATAGCATGTTCATTTAATTAGAAAGATATTTTATTTTATCACTGTCATCACAAGTGTTTCTTATCATCCTCTCTATCAATATAGTTTGAAATCTCATCAGGATCCTTACCATTGTCTTTGTTGTGATCATTGTCTTCACAATTTTGAAATTTAGAATTAGATGTAATAAACCTTTTTACTAGAGTAATCATATCTGTAGGTAAATTGATATAGAAATTTGCTGTTGAAATAGAATATCATATCTAGACTTCTACTTCAAACATGCATACTTGAATAAATGGTCTGTACATAGCAAATATCACTTAATTGTATGCCAAAATTAATATATAACTGTAGACATAAGTTTCTGAATGATGTGCAGCTCTCTCTCTATGTGCATCTTCTATTTATTTTTAAGGATTAGCATAGAAATACTAGCCTTATCTGCTTCCAGTGATGAGTGTACAGACCATATCATGGGCCCAGTGAAGCAGCCGTCGCAAATGTTTGGTAACTCTATATTAATAACACTGACAGCTTAAGGGTTTCTGGTTCTTCTCATTTAAAGAAGTATCTAAAAAATTTCACAAGAACCAATTAGAATGTGTTGGTGTTTCACACAGTGCAACTGCCGCTGGGTCCTGTTATAACTTTTCTTCTCAAATGGTTTTCAGCTTTGGGTACTTGAATTCAGTAAGAGAGCGCTTGATAAGTGGTGTAGAAGAGAAGCTTCTGGGCGAAGTGCAGGAAGGAAAGATCAGCTCCTGAAGCTGGGGTAGGCAGGGTCATTACTTTGCAGGCACAATTAACCAAACATTGCCTTATTTTGACTTTTGCTGTTCACTATATTGAAAGTTATGTTAATGTGAAAAAAGGTATGGTGTGCGAGTTATGTCTGCAGGACACTCTAACCTGTTGTTTCTGTGATTTATTTTCTGTTTTTATTTTCCCAACATATGTTGTTATTAACAGATTTACTAATTTTCTGCTCATGTAATGTGAATTTTGGTACTGCAAAGTATAACACATTGAGTTACTAACACTGCACTTCAAAGAAAATTCTTATTTTCTAGAATCATTTTAAAGCAATTGGATATACATATGCCTCATGAAACAACATAACACAAAGGGCTAATGAAACAGCTTTATACAAGTGCATGTAGGAAGTCATACATGCATTGTTAACAAATTATTTATTTTACTGAAACTATGATTGTCAAGCTTGTACTGTATATATTTATAAAGAGGAATGGAGGATAAGAGAGGATGAATTGATGATGCAGTGTAAGATTTTTGATGTTTGTAATGTTGAATATTTGTCCCATATTTCTTGTTGAAGCAATTAAGACAGTGAAATTAGAGTGAGGAACACAGAAAAAATTGCAATCTAGCTTTCACATATATGTTATATAGATAAGCATAGCGTATAGAGTAAAAGGAGAAATTAAAGTCTATTTGATATTTGTATTCAAACTGAATTAACACAGGACAATGCCAAAATGAGAACAATATTTTCAATTTAAAGGGATATCAGTTTCTGAAAAATGGCAATAGCTCAGTTATTCCTCTTAAATGTCAGTTTTGCTCAGTGTAGTTAAAAGCATATATCTCACTGAATGAGAAAGCACTTTTGCTTTGTAAGATTTGAATAGGCACTTATTTTATATCTCTTACACAAATTGGTATGTGGTTGATGTTAGTAGTCTGGCCAAGGCACTCCCCCTTTGTTTCTCTATTCAGGAAAGTGGAAGATGAATTTCAATGGCTTTGTTGAATTTCTGCTGGCAAGGAACATAATATCTTCGTTTGAATAGTTTTATTTCAAATAGAGAGCTTTGTTTTGGTTTGGTTTGTAAAAGAGTGATTTTTTTTCCCTAAACCAAAACTGCTTATATAGTTATTATATTTAAAATGAAGGCAAATAATTATAACCTTAATTTTAATATGTATTGGTATTGGATAATTTTTCAAGTGTAACAGTCAGTTTTTAGTGAATAAAGAAACTAGCTTATTTCATAAGTAGCTCAGTGATAT